AGGGCTACGGCACTCATCTCATGAACCATCTCAAGGACTACCACATACGGAACAATATTCTGCACTTCCTAACATTCGCTGACGAATTCGCTATCGGTATGAATAATTTACTAAATATTAGCTGTCGCCCGTGACTCCGTCCGCGCGGATTTAAAATAACTTATTAGTCTATGTGTTCTTCCAGACTATGTTCTACAAATTTTAGCGAGATCCGTTCAGCCGTTCTGGAGATACCTTCTAACAAACCTACATTCATCTAAACATTCGCATTTATAATATTAATATGTTGTAATTAATTTACATTATTTAGGAAAATTCTCACATTCAGTACTTTACAATAACATACATACACAAAGAAATACAAAGAACTGTTTTTATTTTTAATTTAATTATCTGAATACTGTCAGGTTACTTCAAGAAGCAGGGCTTCAGCAAGGATATAAAGCTGCCGCGCGCCATGTACCAGGGCTACATTAAGGACTACGAGGGCGCCACGCTCATGCACTGCGAGCTCAACCCGCGCATCGTCTACACGCAGTTCACCTCCGTCATACGACGCCAAAAGGAGGTCAGTTGACCCTAATACAAACCACGCATCATGTACACCCACATCACCTTAGTCATACGACGCCAGAAGGGGGTCAGTTGACCCTAACTCAAATCGCGCATAGTCTACACGCACTTCATATACGTTATATTTTATTTATACTATACCAGAAGGAGGTCAATTGACCCTAACTTAAGCCGCTGTAAATTCGTTTTGTTCTAATTCAAAGTATTTATGTTAATTAGTTGTATTAAAAATAATTTATTGTTATAGTAGACTGTGTATCTTATGACTTATCAGTTACTTCAATTTGCAGATTGTTAAAAAATTGATCGACATGCGACAGAAAGAGATCAGGAAAATTCATCCCGGACTCACTTGCTTTAAAGAAGGTGTAAGTACTACTTTGTTACCTCCTTATATATGTATATATATATATTCTTTGATATTAATTTGACGTAAACCCCTTTTCCACTAAGTGCCTGACTGCATTTAGATATAGTTCTCAAGTTTTAATTTTTATTCCAGGTTCGCAGTCTCCCCATAGAGTGCATCCCGGGGCTGCGAGACAGCGGGTGGCGGAGCACTAGAGGCGCGGCGGCGGAGCCCGAGCCTGACGCGGAGCCCGCGACACTACGCGCCGTACTGCATGCGGTCAGTTGCTCAACTGTCAGCTACATTACGCAATTGTGGGCTACATTGCCCATCTGTGGGATATGTTTTTCCCAACTCTTAAATATTATATTGTAGGTAACTACAGCATATGTTGGTTTAGAAAGAAATAACTGTAAAAAAACTGCAATATTCTATTTTCTTAAATTCACCGTCTATCCTAGTGTGAGTATGCTTTCAGTCCAGGAAATTGTAGAGATTTTTCTTTTTTTTTTAACGCCCATATTAAGACTTTTACTTCACCCGTTTCTTTTCTATCATGGTATATTTACTATATAATATTTTTATTGCAGGTGAAGAATCATGCAGCCGCGTGGCCTTTCCTGAAGCCAGTAGACAAGACAGAAGTGCCCGACTACTACGATCATATCAAATATCCTATGGGTCAATATGCTATTTATCTGTAAATTTATACTGACAAAAAGATCATTTTTCATATGGTTTAATATGAAAAATCAACACTAAGGGCAGTCCCTTTTTTTCCACACATTGGGAAGAAAAAGAATTTTCTAATTAAACTTCTTGCTAACATGTCCGGCTCAGCTAGTCTATACATATTTAGAAAATTAGAGTGTCTGTTTGTAGTATAGAAAATTTCCATATATAACGAAAAATCTTTTTTTTTTAATTTTTTGTTTTTCTCTCCGAAACGCTCTGTTTGTTCCTGGTAATCTCCGGAACGTTTGGACTGATTTTGACGGGACTTTGATGGGAAAGTAGACGATGTATGGAGGTTTGTTATAGGCTATTTTCTTAATTCTATACACACTATATAATGTGATTTGTCATATGTATTTACGTAGATCTGCGCACGATGGGCGAGCGGCTGAAGTCCCGATATTACGTGTCAAAGCGGCTGTTCATAGCTGACATGACGCGGATATTCACAAACTGCAGACTCTACAACTCTCCTGACACCGACTACTACAGGTTACTAATAGATAAATCTTATTTATATTATGCGAATGTATGGATGGATGGATGTAAGAAGGTATCTTCAGAACTGCTCAACGGATCTTGAAGAAATTTGGCATATATGTAGGAAATAATCAGGGGGCTAAAGAGACCTTCTGATTAAGTTTTTTTTTATTCCACGCAGACAGATTCGCGGGCGACAGCTAGTATGATTATAATTAATTAACTTTAGTACCAATAATTAAGATATACATACATAGATGACCTCGAAACAGCGTTGGAAAGAAAAATTAATAGCAAGTTTTAATATCAAAAAATGGAACAATTTGTTCAATTCAAGTTTCAAAATATAAAAAAAAAACAAGAATGTATGGAAGATGTATGTATAGGTGTAGAATTAATAGGTGAATGATTAATACAAAATCGATTTTCGTAATTTTTATATTTCTTGTATACGTAGTTGTTTTCTTCCAGATGTGCGAATCTCTTGGAGAAATATTTTCAAACGAAGATGAAAGAAGCAGGATTATGGGACAAATGATGGCTGAACGAGTTTGTACAAAGCACAGGTACATAATGTATAGGTCTTTTTATATAATAGTGTGTTTAGCGCCATTAGACTGTTGGTTAAAGTTACGGAATGATAAATAAAGTTGTAGGTTCGTATCTATTATGAGTTGTTATAGAAAATACTTAAGTAATTGGAATGGTTAAATGTGATTTTTTGCTGTTTTGAATAAGAATTCAAAAGTAACTTTTTTTTAATCTGTTTTATTGAGTGTTCTAATATATTTAAAACACATAAAATTATGTCGAAGTGACATTCAAATTTTTTAACCTTTAGGTTGAGTAATTTTTTGTATTTTTTATATGTGTGTTGGTTGTTAGTTGCATTCTGATTGAAAAGACTTGAATGAATCTTCAAAATTTCAATTTCAAACCACAAAGATCGTAATAAAATTTTAATTTTAGTAGTAATTTATTGCCAATAGTTACTGCAGTTCTTGATATTTAGTAATTTGTAAATATATATCTTATATATAAAATTGTGTCACAATTTTCGTTCCCATACTCCTCCGAAACGGCTTGACCGATTCTCATGAAATTTTGTGAGCATATTCTGTATCAAAGAGTATAATAAGTAAACTATAGAAAGAGGGGCAACTCGCACGAAGTCGTGGATCCACGGCGATTGTGGCGCTCCATGCGTATAATCGGTGAACTAATTTTTTTTTGGTACCTATATACTTAGGCACGCATATTTAGCTCACTATAATAATAACTGATAAGTGGGAATCTAATTTATGAAGTTAAAATTGACATTAAATCAATTTTCAAAAATAATATACCCACTTATGTAGTTATTAATATAGTGAGCCGATATCAAGTAGCCTTCTATGAAATACCTCTATTAAAATGATCCTATTATTATTGAGGAAATAAAAACAAAATATTTTTATATTTTTGTACATTATTTATTATATTTCTACATAACTTAATTTTAAATCTATGCAAGTACATATACATCAATGACTTTCAAGATATCAGCTCAATATTTTAATTTTTAATATATTTGAAAATTACATTTACGGTAATAAATAGTATAGCGCGGTCACAAAAGAATGCATACCCTGTAATTAAAACCAAACCCCAAAATATTTTCAGTCACATGCAAGCTGGCAACTGGCAATTTGTAGTTATTTGCGAGTTTAAACACTCTGAACATATTCTCTTACAACATAGGCAAGCAAATTTTGCTTTACAATAAAAATTTACAAATAAAAAAATATATTTTTTACATATACACACATAGACCCACCTACAAATTTCAGACACATCAGTTTATGGCTCTATAATTCCAGTGATTGGCACACATTTTCTGAACATCACTGACCGTCTCTCAGGAAGGGGGAAACCGTGTATATGTGCACCTACAACAAACAAACAGAATCTGATTTCCTGTCAAGTATAGGAACTGATATGTAAAATGTATTAGAAGTAGGGCACCATTCAATATGATAACCGGAAAGTATAAATCACTGTGGTGCTAAAAACTACACCAAAATACAAAAATATTTAAATGTTTAAATGAGTCTGACGTATGGGAATAACACGAAAATTTTTATTGAATTGTAACTTACCATAATCAGTCCATCTAAAACACAGTTGCGTACAGCGTCGTTTTTCACGAAAAAACATTTTAATTAAAAACAAAATGAATGAAACAACATTTAACTAAGAATACAAGAACAGAAATAGAAATACGAAAAAACGTAGCGGTTTGATGACACATGAATGTCTCGATGACACAAACTTAGCCATGAGATGAAATGATGTTTACCAAGATTTAAAAGGTGGCGCCACTTTCCATACAAATCGTCCTTCTTCTAAGTTTCCACCCCCTGTTCTGTATGTCTGAGAATCGGCCAACATCTATTTTTTAATCCCGCGCGGACGGAGTCGCGGGCGACAGCTAGTATTTATTTATGCGTTGTGTTTATTGTTATAAAATATGTTATAAATATTTCTCAATTTTATCATTTTGATTTTTTTTCATCCTCTTACATTTTGAATATGTATAATAAAATTGGAATGTCTGTATGATGTATATCATGTTGCGGATAACGAAAAACAAATTTTTAAATTGTCTGTGTGTCTGTCTGCGTTTGTTCCGGATATTCTTCAGAATGGATGCATCGATTTTGACCAAACTTTCACAGGAAGGTAGATGATGCAAGCCAGCATGTTATAAGCTATTTTTTTAATTCTGCTCAGACATAGACGCCGGCGACCGCTAGTATTATTCAGGTTAGTACGTCTGGATATGTAGCAAGAGGCTGTCATTTATTGGGTAATAAAACACAAATTCAATACTGTATTGGTTTTTATTAACATTTTGATGTACACTCGGGGTACGAACATTTTAGGGAATGTAAATACATATTTATCTTTTATATTAGTTGATAAAAGTACATACCAGTCTCCTTGTTAATATAAAATCCGATGGATTCCGCTAAGTACTTACGGCGTAAAGCGGTAACTTAACTTAAGAGATATTTAAAACTTAATTAAGAACGAATGATATATATATTTTTTTTAATTAATCATTCGATTAAAACCGATTACAGCTTTGGTTGATAAGTGGGCGCGATATAAAACGAAATACACATAGTTAAAAAAGAACAAAAAAAGCGAAATAACTCATTAGTTATTCGGACTAGATTTTTTTAATCTATTATTTTCTTAGAGCCATTATATGTAATATGAACAGTCTAGCCACCACCTACGTCAACATAGTGAAATGTGTTAACTCCAAATTAAAATAATAATAACACATCTATTCAATGAAATGAAGTTTTTTTTTTAACAATTCTCATAATCCCAAAATATTCAGATAATGTTTTCGATCTAAAAATAATTTTAAGTAGACGCAGATTAATATTAGAACTATTAACCATTTAAAAATATTGGACAAAACATATAATTTAACTTGATAAAAACTAATAACTAATATTTTTTTCTGACTTTTTATTTTTAATTTTAGAATTTTAGCAATTTCACCATTTAAAATAAAACAACATTGATGTCAAGATAAAGTAAAATGAGTAACTACTGCATTATAAATCGTTAAATGATCACAAAGTGGCTGCTTAAATGACAACTCTGGGTGGTAAATGATTGTAAGAACGTTATATCTATGGACGGAAATGATTTTTCCAAAGACAAACGTTTCGTTCCGGGGACACCACAACCGATTCGTTCTTAACAAAACCACTTAAGTAATACAATTATACTCAGAAACAATACATCTTAATTCAAAATATGATTATCTTATCTATAGAAAAAAACATTTATTTTTAGTTAGTGTTAAATTCATAGCAAATAGTAATGAAACTTGTTTGAAATGTTTGGTAAAGTATTCTTCCAGTAAATAATTCATTTTTAAATATATTAAAACACTTTGAAAGAAAAAAAATCCCTTGTTACAAAAAATATGGTCCTTCGAGCCAGACCTTAGAGATCCTAATGTCTTTATTATTTAGATATACCAATAATATGTCTTAAATTAGACATAAAACATATACAGTTGAATGATTTTTTATATTGTGAAATGATTTAGGAGACATATATGAGATCATTTCAAACGAATTTAGTATTTAAGTACAACATTACAATGGCTCATATTCCCTTGCGAATGACATACAATGTGTCACATGAACACTATTTCGTTGACTAGGCGGAGTCGCGATGTTTCCTAACTAATTATAATTATAAACTTATTTAATTCATGTCCATTTCCATACAAAAAAATATCACTTGTACATTCGTCACTGGAGCACGTATGATTCAGGGGATATTTTTTTTAACTTTTTTTGAGTATTTTTTTTGTAATTTGTTAAACTTAATTACGACGCGATTAATTCATAAATGAACACATAACGTCTCACTGTTCACTCTCACTTGAACTACAGATTTACGCATTGCCATTGTTGGTAGATGTTTGCCAAATCGATCCAAATGTTTGGTCCAAAAGTATTCTACGTCTAGAAGCTTGTTAAAAGGAGAAATTCCTGCCTCATTCTCAGCTGCAAAAACACTTTTCTTTCATTTCTTTTAGTTCGTCAAATATCACCAATATCAGTCAATACTCCAATAGAAAGTCATCCATCCAAAGTCACACAATGAATTTAATAGATAGTTTGGCAAACGGCACAAATGCAAACATTGGAACATAACGCCAACTCCAACAACCAGCATTCAATTCTCGTATGTGATGATTGCAATAGTTTGTCCAACACGGAGGCCATCCATACAGGGCACTGGTGATGAGGGGAGTTTGGCAAACGTCACAATCGCAAATGATGGGCAAATACGCCAATATTGGACGTGTTCAGTCTTGGCCGTCGCTGGCCGAGCTCACTGAGGCCGTCTCCTGCCTCGAGCACTCCGCTCTCGGACCACCAGATGGCGATGATGTACACGAACTGAAATTATAAAACAAATATTCCTTATCATATTACGAAGTCATACTCATATTATGAAGTTTAAATATTTCATTGTTTATTGTATTGAATTGAATCAGAAACGACTGCACCGAAATAAAAAATCTTTCCCTGTTGGGAAGCTACACTATCCACGGGTGATAAACCGCGTGGACGAAGTGCTGGTAATTGCTAGTTTATAAATAAAATAAAATGGATGACAATACATTTAGTTTATGTAGATAATTACATAGCGCAATGTACCAAGTTTTCTTCAAAGACTCATGGTAAATTTTGGTATCACATTTTGGCAAGGAGTAACAATGTACGATAAATGCGTGTGTAAGACGATGAATAGTTGCTTGCTACTGTGTAATTACATAATGTTAATTATTATGACCAGAATGTGGTAAGTGTTAGTGACCACATTGTGGTGAATGTCAGTGAGTAGAATATGGCAAGTGTTGTGTGACCTGTGGTGGTCTGTGCGGCGCGTGTCCTCGCAGCGCAGGGAGGGCACGAGCTCGTCGGGCGAGGAGGCGCGGCTGCTGCGCTCGCTGCCCGCGGTGTACGAGTTGTCGCTCGTCAACTGTAACACACACAACGCACTATCACTACATACACTTATAAATACACTGCTAATTTAAACTATTTTTTTAATATCTTTATGAGATCTGATATATAAAAAATTTATAAAACGAAGATCACGAATATATTTTACTTCTTAGTAATATTATAAATGCGAAAGCTTAGATGTATGGATGTTTGTTCAAAGGTAATCAAGAACGGCTGCATGGATCTCGCTGAAATTTGGCATAGTCAAGCTTTTATTCGCCCGTAGTTTGCTGTCAAAAAAGGATGTTATATTTACAAGTGTGAGCGGGTGACGGTTCCTCGCCGGGCTGAGCGCTCGGCTGCGCGCCTCCTCCACTTCCAACTGCAGGATGCTCTCCTGGCTGCCAGTGAACTGCACAACGAACATTATCAATAAACATATAAAAACTTGGAAAACTTCTTTTAATTTAAATGTATTATACAACACAAAAAACAATAATATATTGCTCAAAAAGAAAAATACTATGGTACAAAAAAAGAAACTATATTTCAATCTAAGTTTCTGTTAACTAGATGGCGCTATTCTTATAATTAAAGATTTTTTTGTTAATAGATGGCGTTATTCTTATTACAATTATTTTATGCATTTTATTTTAACTAGATGGCGCTATTCTTATATCGTTGAAATATAACTTACCACGAAGCCGTAGTACTTAAGTATATCCATCTTGCACATGGGACAGGTGCGGTGCTCCAGCAGCCACGGATCGATGCAGTTCTTGTGGAAGTTGTGTCTGTTGACAATAAACAAGGATTATCTTCTCGTTAAGGTGAGTTTCCACTGATGAAACATTTATACAAAAATGTATATTTTCAGAATGTAGGGTAACACTATGTTTTTTTTTATTTCAAAAATAAAATTGTAAAAATGGCTTAAGTATTTTAATTATCATCAATTTCTATAATCTTACATAATTTTACTCACCCACAAGGAAGAGATCTTAGCGTTTCCGACACTTTGTAAGGCTCTATGCAGATGGCGCAGCATTCGCCATCTCCTTGCACTTCCTGGGACAGACAGACAAACCACATTACAGACATTAGTATGTATATTATAAATAATAGTAGCTTTCGCCCGAGACTCCGTGTGGTATTGAAAAAAGATAAGTAGGTTAGGTGTTCTTCTAGGCTATGTTCCACATCTATGCCAAATTTCAGTAAGATTCATTCTTGAGATACTTTCTAACAAACATCCATCTGCATATCCCATCCATACAATTAAAACATTCGGATTTATTATATTAGTCAGATATTTTTTATCACTTACTCGATCGTCAGTCTTAAGGCTTTTAGTAGGAATCTTAGAAAGCGCCTTCTTCGCAGCACAACATAAGCGTTTCTGTAAATAAAATAAATCATACATTGAAACAAAAAGTTAGTTTTTTTTAGATCACCATGTATAATAAGATAAACATTTATATGACATCTAAATATTATTTAATAAGAAAATTTAATTAATTTGTTCATTTTAAAATCTAACAAATTTTAAACATTACAACTTGCCAACATTTGTGTTAAAACATATTACTTTGTCTTTTTAAAGGGAATTATTGGTATGACAACATATTTTTATACAAATGTTTCACCAGTGGGAACCCAGAATAAAGGAGCAAAAGTATACATACAGAGAGGCGATCCTTTGCGTGTATGTATCGGAAGCGCTGGATGTAGTAGAAGACGAGCCACGCTAGAGAGATCACCATCAGGACGATGAAGGAAATAGACACGAACAGTACCGATGTCCTGAAATACCACAGAATACTACATTAATATTAAATTCAAGAAAAGACCATACATTCTTAAAGGCCAGCAATAAATCTACGGTTACTCTTGTCTTGTCAATGGCCGTCCGATCGATTTTTTTTAAATAAACTAGTGCTAGACCATAAACCCACTAGATAGTAAGTGGTTATGTTATCGAAGGACGTTAGACGATCCGCTGCTAGTTGCTAGTGCCCTCTTGTCCTATTAAAAAATCAAAAGATGTAAAGTCAGTGTGATTAACTTAGGTCGAGGTTATTAAGAGGTAATTTAGAGCATAAATGTCTAGAGGCTATATGTTAGGGTACATTTCCTCTGTGTTCTCGTCGACGTCAAATTTGTATGTAAAATTATATCTATAGAAATAAGTAGACATATAAATCTATGCATATAAAATACATATCTGACTGTCCCTTAAAAAAATTGCAGTAACAATGTTACCACACTCCTATGGAAAATTCAAGCTAAATATAGTACGAAAATGTCACTAGGAATTAATTGAAACGGAAAACCTTGATTCTAGATATTGTGGACAGATTCCAAGTGTTCGCGGTTTAGAGGAAGGAATGCAAGTCTATATTTATTGCAGCTAATCATTTCATAAGATAAATGCGGTTTCATCACTATTTCAAATATTACAAAGATAAAGAAACACTTGATTTGTAATCTGTACCAATGTGTTTTTTTATATTATTCATTTAAAAAATGTACATTTATTAGATTAGGCATAAGGAAAACATCGTAATGTTACCTGCACATATTTGAGAAGAAATTCAAAGATGTGTGACGTCAACCAACACTCTTGACTTAGAGTAGGCTCGAACCCCTCAGTAGGGACGTATAGTAGACTAATGATAATTGGGATATTGGACCTTACATCAGTTACTTACTAATCTTACTAATATAAATGCGAATGTTTGGATGGATGGATGTTTGAAGGTATCTCAACAACGGTTGAACGGATCTTGTCAAAATTTGGCATATATATAGAGTCTGGAAAAACACATGGGCTACTAATTATGTTTCTTTTAATTACGCGCGGACGGAATCCCGGGAGACCGCTAGTATAAAGGGTTATTTCTACATACTTGTTGACACCGGTGATGCGGGTAATAGTCTGTCTGCCTTTAATAATAGCCACCATGACGCGGGTACCGTTGTCCGCCAGCCGTGTGATCTCCTCGCCCTTCCACTTGTATGTGAACACAGCGCTTATATTGCCTGTAACCAGAGATATTCAAATAAATATAGAGTGGACATTAGACACAATTTATAAAATATTAACAGTATTCATTTGTTTGCATGTTATTTTACATAGTAATGTATCAAACTAGATTTGTAATTAGTTATAACAAGTTGTGGATTACTATTTAATTTGACCCATCTATTGCTACATAGGTTGAAATTGCTTGTAACATACAATAAATAATTTAATTCAATTAATTAAATCTAATTGGATCTGCGGGAGCTACAAGCGATGGACTGGCAGGAGAAGGCGCAAGACAGTCGACTTTGGCGATCTCTTGTGTCGGAGGCCAAGACCCACTTTGGGTCGATGCGCCAGCGGAGTAAGTAATTAAATCTGACTGTACTAACAATTTGTAGTGAAAAATAATTCAAATGATAATAAAGGACAAAAAAATTGACTTACAAACCAACATTGTCCTGTTATTAGAAGGAAGGCACATTTAAATCTTTGGAGTCATAAGAAATAATATACGAATAGGAATTTGGTACTTTCTAACGTTCCATAAAATATCGTAATAATCAATCATAATGTAGTAACATGTATATCATTGTTGCTTTGTTAAATGAACACATGGTAGCCTTATATATCAGGGGAATCCTAGCACTGAACAACACATAACTTATGTTACCGTTATTACTAACAACCTATTATCCCAACATGTTTTACTTTGAATAACGTTATAGTTAACAAACGACAGATTTACAAACCCAATAATCACGATCCATTGCTTGCCAAGGTACTCAATCCATTTTCATTTAAATAAAAAAATAAATTCAATAAAATATGATAAATTTTCGATACATCTGTCTTAGTTGGAATTGTATTATTGATAATTGGATTGAATTCCGAGAGAAATTTTCGAAAATGACGTGTGTAATTCTCTGAAGATTTTATCATACCTACAACTTGGATATCATCACGTTTGCTTAGACAATTAATTACTGCTTGTAACTGATAAGACACATTCGTCGTCTCTTACCCAACAATGCCTTACAAAGCTCTTTTGTTTAATATGATTAACGCGTCATATAATGTTACTAATATTATAAATGCAAATGTTTAGATGGATTTTGGATGAATGTAACAAACATTAGAAGAGAAGGTATCTCCAAAACTGCTAAACAGATTTAGGTAATTTGGCATAGATGTCGAATAGTCTGGAAGAACACATAAGTTCGTACGGACAAAGTCTTAGGCGACATCCAGCAAGAACATACTTAAAAATCTTGTCCCCATGTCTATGGGTTTCATACATCATCTTTACATAGGTTCTATAGTTAAACCTGCGTAAGCGAAGAAAGGAATAAAGTCCTAAATTTTCGTAACGCATTTTCAACTTCAACTCAAAATCTATTTAAAATTTATAAAAAGAATGAAACCCTTTCGATCAAAAAAAATTCAAAATCGGAGCTCCAAAGGCGGAGGTAACACACATAAAAAAACATACAGACGAATTGATAACCTCCTTCTTTTTGAAGTCGGCTAAAAACATACAGACTTGAGAAACCGTTCGAAAATCACATTTAAATTTGGAATGCGATGAGAATGTATATGAAAATATTTACGGTAGCATTCGGATTGATTTATGATGAAAGATATTTCATATTATTTCGTCATTTCTGTTTCTCTTTAGGGAAACTTTCCTTGAAATGGTGACTAAATCACAAGCCATTTTGTTGGTTGAGATTAAATTATTTGCCTTATTCTTTTTGCGGAAGTTAGTATAGCAAATATAACTGACTACATATCATTTTATCAACAAATAAATGGTTTTAATGCTTATATCAATTACTAGCTATAGCCCGTGACTGTCTGCGCAAAATTAAAAAAAAAAACTTAATTAGTAGCCTATGTGTTCTTCTAGACTGTGTTCTACATATATGTCAAATTTCAGCGATATCCATGCAGCCGTTCCGGAGATACCTTCAAACAAACATCCATCCATCCAAATATTTGAATTTATAATATTAGTAAGAGTAATATAATTTCCTTCCGTAAGTTTTTTCTGACAACAGAATATAAACGCATTCAATTAGACTGTGGATGATAATTGAAAAGAGGCGAAGGAAATTGATATTGATGAGTTATTGGGTAACTCGGAAGGGGGCGCCCTAGTCGAATGAATATCGATTACTTATGAGCTATGACGTTTGATCGACATCATTTCCATATAAAGACGATATGTAGGTATAGGCAGCGAAAGATTTAATTCAATTTAATTTAAAAATAAAATTGTAAATTCATGTTATTTGCTTTTCAAACTTGACTTGACAAACTTTATCAAAGTTACTAATAAAAAGACCAACTTTCAATTTGAGATTAAAAAGTATCTCCTTAGCGACCAATTAACATCTCTGAGTATGACAGTAAGACACAGAATAGATAAACAAAGAAATATTAATTATGTTTACGAGTAGTTACTACGAAAGTAGAATACAAGGGACCGTTGGCGGACCAGTTGACCTCGCTATATTAAGGTGCGTTTCCACTGTTCAAACATACAAAATAAATATATATTCTTATCTCAGTTATTTCAAATAGAAAGATAGAGATGACAGTATCTTATGCGAATGTTTCCGCAGTGGAAACCTACTCACATGACAAAGGTAAATGAACAAAGAAGTAGGCTTGGACAATGGCATTTTAATACGCGTAAAAAAATCATGACGTAAATACAAAATTCAATACTACAAGAACTATTGTATAATAACTAGATATATAATATTATTTCTTACTTTTAACTACATATTATAGTAATAATCTGTATATGTGAAAGTCGTGTTTTATTAATAGCTCTAGAACTGCTTTACCGATATGGCTGAAAATTGGTGAGGAGGTAGCTTAGAGCCAGGAGACGGACATAGGATACTATTTATTCTTTTTTTCGAATTTATACCTTGAAGAGCTGCTTCTTATTTAACTCACTAATATTATGAATGTTTAGATGGATGTGATATGTATGGATGGATGGGTGTTTGAAGATATCTCTAGAACGGCTGAACGGATCTCGATTAAATTTGGCAAACGTATAGAACATAGTCTGAAGGAACACAAAGGCTACACTAATTAAGTTTTTTATATATCGACGCGGACGGAGTCGCGGGCGATAGGTATTTTTTTACTTTATATGATCATTCCTTGCCTATATTTCACTAACTATTCGTTTTCTTGACTCTCCAACTGTAGTATGTGTAGTCGGCTGCTTATCCCTCCCGACGGGCTCGGAGCCTGCCAAAGTTAGTTTTGCCTAGACCATAGCCGCCACGATGGCTATGTGCGGGTTAATTTTACACACTTTGAATTTCTTTCCATATGTGCTAGGACTAAAGTAAATCAATAATAATTGCTAAAACCTTTTAAAACCTTATAAAGGTTAAAAGTAACAACGCATAGATATATTTATTTTAATAATATAGGAAATTCAAAGAGCTATTATTTGTAGGAATTATAATAATAGCCAATTTATCTAACGGTTAATAACAATAATTATTTGTAGTTTTCATTCAACTACGAATTAACTGTTATAATCAATAACAGTTGTTCAGCAGTTAAACGAACCGGATGGGCATTTATACATCCAAGTTCGATCCTCGCGATACTTGTACCAATGTGTTTTTCGATTTTAAAATTTCATAATATGTACATCTGACGTTCTTACGGTCAAATGCAACTTGCACATATCTGAAAAGTAATCTATACTAATACTAGCCTAGTCGCCTGCGACTTCGTTCGCGCGGGATTAAAAATAGATGTTGGCCGATACTCAGACCTACTCAATATGCTCACAAAATTTCATCAGAATCGGTCAAGCCGTTTCGGAGGAGTATGGGAACGAAAATTGTGACACGAGAATTTTATATATAAGATTATAAAGCGGAAGAGTTTGTTTGTTTGTTTAAACGCACTAATCTCAGGAACTATGATCCGATTTGAAAAATTAGTTTTTTGTTGGATAGTCCATTTATAGAGGAAGGCTTTAGGCTATATAAGATTACGCTGCGACCAATAGTTTTTTTTAACACTGCGCCGACGGAGTCTTGGGCGACAGCGAGTTCAAAAATATATGTGAAGTCAACCAACCCGCACTGGGCTATTTTGACTCTACTGACTACAGCCTAGTCATCCCGTAATTAGATAGGCTCTTGAGCTGTAGACATTTTATAATCAAGAAGACTATAATATGTCGATGATGCCTTTTGTTACAATCATAAAAAAGTTAAAACGAAATAATTTTATAAACATTTTTAATTAATAAAATTAATCTATCAATCTGTGCTTAAAACTGTAAGAGGTTATCAAACGAATGTCGCAATACTTTATCACATCGATAAATGCTTAGTGAAGGACTTGTGATAAAATTTAACATGTATGAAGTAATCACAAACATAATAAGTGAAAATGTGAAATGGTTGTACTATTAATTCAGCTGATGGGTATATTTAGTAGCTGTAATCCGTGACTCCGTTCTAACGGCATTAAAAAAGAAGAAGAAGAAGAAAGAAGTAGAAGAAGAAAAAGAAGTAGAAGAAGTAGAAGAAGTAGAAGAAGAAGTAGAAGAAGTAGAAGAAGAAGTAGAAGAAGTAGAAGAAGAAGTAGAAGAAGAAGTAGAAGAAGAAGTAGAAGAAGTAGAAGAAGAAGTAGAAGAAGAAGTAGAAGAAGAAGTAGAAGAAGAAGAAGTAGAAGAAGAAGTAGAAGAAGAAGTAGAAGAAGAAGAAGAAGAAGAAGAAGAAGAAGAAGAAGAAGAAGTAGAAGAAGAAGTAGAAGTAGAAGTAGAAGAAGAAGTAGAACAAGAAGAAGAATTACAAATGGGAATGTTTAGATGGATGAATTGATAGGATTTTTTTGGATGTTTATTTGAAGATCTCCAAACAGGCTGAACTAATCTCGATGAACTTTAAGATACATATAGAACATGGTTTGTAACAACACATAGGCTACAAATTACATTTTTTTTATTCTGCGCGGACGAAGTCGCTGGCGACAACTAGTTGCTCTAATAAAATACACACCTTCAAGTCAAAAATATAATAAAAAAATGTGAGAGATTAAACTCGGGTTCGGGTTCGGGGGATTACTTTAATCTATCGATAGGATACATGTATGTGTGATAGATAGTTTAAATTAAAGAATACTTACATACATAAATATGTATTCTATAGACGGATGATAACTCTTCGATTTATAACTTAAAACTCATAAAAATATCTATGTGAAGGTCATGATACAATGAGAAATAAATAATACAGCATATTATATAACGTCACAAAAACGGATCTGAATTTAAAACAATGAGGAATTACGTCTCATGTGTTTTGTATTACAAATTATAATTACCTAGTTATTCGTGTAAAATAAAAACTATACTATATACAAATAGAATAACACATAGGTGGACACAATGTAATTGAAATAAATACTAACAAACCAACATACGTAAGAACATAGTTACATACTCAGAAAAAATCTAGCGATTTTTTAAGCGAATGCTTTTGGTTCTGTCGTAACCATAACCATTCGCTTGCTAGCTATATTCAAGATGGCGGAGCATATCTGTACAGTTCAGTCGCTATGCCTGTTCTGACCAAATAGACTTATGTACGAATGGTCTTAGAGAGAAAACTGAAAAACTTATGATAAAAGATGGTAAAACCACAGAGTAGTGTTAGTACCACATCTTCACATACATGTTATTAGGATATTTAATAAAAGGATTAACTTACGTCCATTATCTGTAGATAATTTCATCTTCTCAAGATCGGGGGCGTCGCGGTCGTTGTAGATTAGGACCGCGGTGGCGTTGGCGCGCCACGCATTGTTCACCTAAAACAACAATATACATTAGAGTGGAATTTCACTGCCGCAACATCTTTAAAAGCGCATATTGTATGTAAGGTGACAAGGGAGTTTAAACATCGCTTTTAATTCTTTCTTCAGCAAAAACTATAAAAAAGTTTTTATTGTATAATTTTCAGCCAGCATTACCACTTATCCACCAGTTACTTACTCGCCAGTTATCGGCAGATCAATCTTTTATATCGGACATTGGAATTAATAAGTCTAGTACCGTCAGATCAATGATACTATCCTGTCTAGACAAGGTATAGAGCGCTTATCATTTGTTTTTTGATTATTTTCTGTGTCGTCTGATATTTTACAAATAAATATTGTAATAGCACAACAATCATCTGTATGATTACAAAAAATATGACGAATATAATAATGAGTAGCCTATGTGTTATTTCCGACTACGCTCTACATCTGTGCCAATATCCGTTGAGCCGTAACGGAGATAACTTCAAACATCCATCCATCCATCCATCCATCTATCTATCCAAACATTCGCATTTCTATGATTAGTAGATTTTAAAGTGGATACTATATAATGTTATTAATCAAGAAGTTATTTTAGTACGTAATAAACAGTATTGTCGTCCCTCTTATTATCCTTGAGAAAAATGAAACAACATGTTTTGATGTGTTTCGGTAGTGGAAAATGACCGTAATACTAAGCTCAACTTGATCTCTCCTTTAGGTTATTAATACTACAACACTATATCATGTAATCCTGATACATTTAATATAGGGTCAGATATGAAGTCATGACTAGACTGATTACACTATTTTATGACAATGTAACGAGAAATAGATACACATGCGAGAGATATCTATATATTAGGTGTCGCTTGATAATATTTGTTGATAACGCATCAATATTTAGTTCCCACTTGTATAGAAACTTACTATATTTAATATTTCAAGGAGAACTGACTGAGAGACTGGATTAAAAGATTTTTTTATTTTATTAGATGTTTCAGCATTGAAAACTCAAGGTTACAATTGTACCACGTATGTAAAGAATATCGCTATAGGATAAAAAAAAAATCAGTACTTTGAATTCAACTAAATATGAGGTCAGTCTGTAGATAGTTACTTTCTAAGTCATATCTGTAGCATTCGTTGCGTTATATTTGGCTCGACACCGACCGACCGACACGTGTTGCCGGTCCAAAAGTCTGACATCGTCTGTCCCCTCTCTCTGGCATGTACTTATGGCGTGTACGCTAGAGACAAACAACACTACGTTTATGCATACACTACAATATCGTAAGCGAAATATGAGATTTTAACATTGGGTTACCACTTATTAAACATTTGAACAAAATTATATTGACATCCTTCACATTCTCGTTATAAAAACTGAGATAGCAATAAAAATAAATCTGATTATCAAACATACCTTGATCTCAAAGTTACAATTCCCTCGTTTAATAACCGCAACCCAAGGTTCAGTCGGCAGAGGCTCTCCGGGCGCGGCGGATGACAGCAGCGGCCATTTGCAGCCAGTGTGGTCCTTCTCCCCCTCCGGCCCCACAGCCCGCACGTGCACAGCAACCCCTCGCGAAGAGCCCACGAAACCCTCGCCGTATTTACCAGTCTGTTGACAATGGAAACAAGTCAATTAAACAAAATGTTAATGAAAAATATGGATTCTAGGTTAAACTTTTGGGAAAGTTTGTTTGAATCAAATTAACCGGTTACGAATGACCAATTTGAATATGACATATTTATACTTGTCCTAATTTTTTGGCTTTACTTTGACTAACGTTGCGTTCATTTCATTTGAATTGCTACGTGTTCAAAGATTTTCTGTGAACAAATGACTGTAACTAGTAGTTTTTTGTAAAAAAAAAAAATGTTGGCTACCTTCATGTTTCGATATTTCTGTCCCTTTTAGTGTCATTATTTAGTAAAAAAAAACAATGAAAGACATGTAAAAAAGAACAAGATTTTTTTAAAAGTTTTATACTGGTTTAAAGTATCAAGATTCATAAGTCATAGTATATTGTAGACATACATAATACGATACAATGTAAGGTTCGCTGGACTTGAGGCGGTATTGGCCAATCCAAACAGTTTCTATGACGTCACTCGCCTTATGTTTATTCATCAGCAGTTGCCATCTGTCCCTTCGGAACATTTATAAATAAAACATTTTTGTATGCTCAAATATAAATTAAAATGTCTGTTATTTTTAAATAACTCTTCTGACTTCAGTAGCTAATCTTAAATATCTGTCGATTTCGGAAGAGCAAACATTTTTTTGTTCAAATTTTTAAGCTTAAAATGTTTTTTTCTACGTCTCTGAGACGAAAAAAAAGAATTTGAAAAAGTGGAAACCTTTAATAAATGTATTATTCAATTGATATTTTTTAATTTATAATTTTCCTATTAATCTATATAAACCTTTGAAATCGATGTAATTCATGTAAACATAGAAGATATAATTTATGTCTTCTAAAAATAAAACATGAAATAGGGAAATGAACATAAATCACACGAATAAATCCTCGCAAAATATGACAAGCTCTTTGAAGTGAACGCCTGCTACAACCACGAGGGACATTAGAGAGAAAATGCATCGTCAATTTTATGAAGATATAATGTTAAGCTGTAGGCATCGTTAAAGCATATGTTTGAAATGCACTAGTACAGAATATTGCTATATTTCGTCCACAATATACATCTTAAGATCGACACAAAGTTGGACCGTTTAAGAGGCGTTTCAGGGTTATATTACCATGTGCAAAATTTTAAACGTCACATCCCTATTAAATTATCGGTGCACACACCAAATAAATACCGGAGTGTTTAGCCGTTTAATACATTAGTTTTTGTCACATCCCTATGTTCATTCCTGTGTACATCCGTGAAGTTGGCAACCCTAAAACAATTGCACAGAGTAAACAAACCGGCCAGTGGCTCAGCTCGACGTGATCGCAATCACAATGAGCGGCTCACCTTGACTTCCGCTTCCTTATTCGGCCCCGATGTTATTCTCGTAAGGAGAACGTACGTAGCGCCATCTGAGTGAATTACGATCAAACCAATTTAAATTTTTAGCGTATGATTGAAGAATGAAACAGTAGGTAAATAAATTGACCGAAATTATATTTGTGACCTAAGCGGTTGAAGCAGTTTATGGGTGAAGTGTCATTTCTATTTGTATATTTCCTTAAAGCGTTAAACTGTCATCGTAATGGGGATATAAACCGACGATCTTGTTCATCTTCGTCACAACTTTGCTTACTTTAGGTAAAGTCGGCTAAATCGGTAAAGTTTTAATTCGGGATTACTGGCTTTTAAAATTACTTTTTTTTACTAAAGAAATACATCAAAGATAAATAACGTTTAAAATAAATAATATTTTTACGATAATGAAAATCCGGTACAATACTTCACACATGTAAGCCGGATAAACACGGTTATCCGGCTTAGATCAATGTTGCCACAACACGATGTATATTTTATTATATGTCGTAAAATAAAAATTATGACTATGCGAGTGGGTTAAGTGTTATTTTTTGTCTTGCATGTATTTATTTTGGCATAGAACAGAAGTAGACGATAACTTTTTCTATGAATAATTTAAAGTTACGAGATATATATCCATTACTAGCTGTCGCCCGCGACTCCGTCCGCGTGGATATACATTCGCATTTATAATATTAGTAAGTTAAATAAAAAGCAGCTCTTTAAGGCATAAATTCGAAAAAAGAATAAATAGTATCCTGTCCTGGCTCTAAGCTACCTCCTCACCAATTTTCAGCCATATCGGTAAAGCCGTTCTTGAGTTATAAATAGTGTAACTAACACGACTTTCTTTTAATATGTAAATAGATTACAATAATCATGTTTTTGAAAAAAAAAAGTTTATGTAGGTACACCATAAATTTCGAAAAATTAGAAAATTATTTTTAGAATATTACTTTGAAAAATGTGTTTTATACAACAAAAATTTGCCATCTATTCTAGTAAAAAAATAAATATAAATTAGTATAACAAAACCAAACTGAAACTTACAACTTCTCGAATTATCGCTACTGATTTAATTGTTTAACATAACAATAACAAACTACGCCTATACATGCCCAAACGCGCATTTAATTTTACAACTGATCACGGTTTTATAGTCCTTATTACGATAGCTGTAAATACTAAAATTAACTGAGGTCTCCAAATACAGAGTATACACCGATTCAAACAAAATAAGGTTAAATGATAATTAACACATTCCATTCTCAACTCTATTCGTAACACGTAAAGACGAAAATCGTTCGGTATTAACAGACCGCGAGGTTTGTCTACGTTTACTTACTGTATCATATATAGGGCTGCCAACTATAAACGACAACCATTTGTCAACAAACCACAAAACAAAAACGACCCTTAATCTTGTAGGAGCAAATTACTGGATGTTGTTTTTTTCGCGAGCGACACAAAAATCCAGTCATTTGTTTAAACCCCCCATTTTGTCCCATAAGCAAATGATAATCCTTTGAAGTATGAAATAATTTGGGTTAAACACGAACAGGTGTCAACCCTATTCGCATGTGACTCAACCCGATGAACGCGTCCATTTTAAGATGATTGCCACTTTATGAATCATCTATTTACCTTACAAAGTAATTTAAATGCACGCATGTCAACTGTTGCTGTCCAAAATAAATATAAATATGTGTACTATATAAAAGTCGACCCTTTCTTATTGCTTCCTTGTTTCTTATTTCTTATTCGTAATTAGACCAAACAGTACATAATTAAAAAAAAGCCCGACTGCCAAGTTGACGTTTTTCCTAATTGCGAGTAACATTCGTCGTATTACGTATTTACTTAAGAATACTATTTCTATGCTTCTATACAGTTTTTTCAGTTATTATGTTTACGTACAATTATTTTTAGTAAAGTGCCATATTGAGGTTATCATATTACACCAAATAGCTCGTATCCGGTGCGACATTAGTTACAATGGAATATATTATTTATTCCAGGAAATACATAAAATAAATTAGTAATTATCTACATCTTTATATATATACTAGTTGTCGTTCGAGACTCCGTTCGCGTGGAATTAAAAAAAAACTTATTATATTAAGTAGCCAATGTGTTCTTCCAGACATGTTCTACATCTATGCTAAATTTCAGCGAAATGCAGCCGTTCCGAAGATACTTTCAAAGAAACATCCATAGAATCTACGAAAATAGTGAAATATATTATTGTTCTTTCACGCTTATCAACTACTTGTATACACTGAAATATTATTTTAAATTTAAATTTGGAATACAATTGTTCCAATCTCAAAAAAATTACAAAAAAACACGATGGACGAAATCTGTAACTCTTGACTATCAAATCAACACAAAGTATAAATTTGTACCAACTAAAGGCTTTTTATTGCTTTGACATACATTATTTTATTGCAGCTGTGTTATTTATTTTTATATTTTTTAAATAGCCATAGAAATACCTAAATACTTCGAGCAAAGAGCATTGACATTGACTTTCAGTAGTTCGATATATTATTAGCCAAAAAAACATCGTTCGCGAATTAATAAATATTCAAAACGACTATAACATTTTTGCGTGATTTTTTTTGGAAAATATTTATAAACAACGAGTGCGTTGACTCTTAAATCGATTTGATTTGCTGGCCAAGTGCCATTCAGTTTGCTGAAAATTTAATTATCTCGGACAGAAAAGAGTTTAGCGTAGAAAGATAATATTAACTGGTAGACAGGGTAGGGACAACAAAGTATTTCGTTCTTTAAAAAAATATATAAACATGGTGATATATAGATTCAAGTTTAAATGATAGTGTGTGTTATTAATTTTAATTATTATACCTTACCTTACCTTTTCAATAAATAACCCTTTTAAAGGTCAAATAATACGCTTCATAAAATTTAAAGAGTAAGTAGGACCCGTTTAATTTGATCAAAGGACGACAAAAACCCTTCTGGGCACGCAGTTAATTGGCATAAATAATTTGGCATTAATAATCCAAAACGGAACTTTCGATGCACAACGATACATGTTATATGAGTTTTCTTAAAAGATGTAATTCTTTTTGACGTTTCGTTGCTGTAAATATAAAAATATAACCATAAGGTTTCACTGGCAAAAGATCTTTACTAAAAGTAAGAAGAGGGAAGAAGAAGAATGAAAGGGATGAGAATAATTTGTGGCTATTAATATTCATGACTTATGTGTTTATTCCATCAAATATGAACTTAGAAATTACAGTGCTTGTCGAAATGATCATATGAATAAACCTTTTGCTTAAACGATTAAAGTAATGAAGAAAAAAAATATAAAAAATTTTTGCTGTTAGTAAAAGTGAACTTCTTTACATACTAGCTGTCATCTTCTTTAAGTTGTCTGTGGCTTAATAATGATGTTGAAATGTCGATTAAATCGAGTAAAGTTATCGATAAACTGCTCGGCGCGAGTGCCTTGGTTGGCGGCACGATGATTCAACATGGCGGCTTACCCCTCCTCCTCCTCGCCCCTCGCTCGATAGTAGCCAGGCGGCCTCCAGCCGTACAGACGTCTTTGTATCGTAACGTGGCAGAAAAATGGACAACATTCTAATAGAAGCAGTATCTCGAAGAGAACCAATATGGAATCCAGCCAGTGGTCTACATAGAAATTCCAATGTTCTGAAATGTCTCTGGCAAGAAGTCGCGAACGAAGTAAACAAAGATGGTGCGTATTATTTAGAGTCGTAAGTTGTGTGTACACATAAGTGTATCTGTGGTGACCTTGGATAGGGTTCCCACTTGTAAGAGTTTGTATGGTGGAAATTAGGGCTATGGCTGAAGCTGAATTGCACTGAATTTTCTTTTTTTTTTGTTAGCAGTTCTCGGGTCTACGTTTGCACAGACAGGCGGCTTGCTTAGCGCCTACAGCTTAGAGAGCCATCTAGCGAGTAGCTCAGTAAAACGAACGTTTTAGAATTGTCGCGAGCAGCCGCTCTGCACGCTTGGCGCCTAGTTATCCATCCGCTTGGCGTGTGTCGAAGTTAAAATTGAATAAAATATTAATTGTATCAGTTTTTAAAAGGAACCTCTATCACACAACTTTATATAATACATTGAACTCCCTATGACTTGATCATCACTTATTAATGTCGTGATGATCAACTCGTGTCGAAATTTACATGAAAGATAAGGCGCGAAATGGTATATATTTTAAAATAGAATTTTCTTTAAGCAGTTTAAGAGCTATTTTTGAAAGTGACATAGCACCTGTCACTAGTCACCTAGTGAAAGCAAATGACTAAAGCACCTAGGGCCATGCAAATCACTATCAGTGCGACAACCCTGTATCTAAGCAAGTACCTAGAATGAAAGCCACTAGGGTCTAGAGGGTAAGCTAGCCGCCTGACTATGTGGACGTAGTCTAATGGAAATGGACAGCCCTAGCTTGCACTGAGTGGGTATAGTACAATTCAAAGTCTTTGTTGTGATTTTGTGTGTTTATTACGATATTATATTTAAACGTATTGATACAGAACTTTTACCTTCTATAGTTTATATACATGTTTTCGCACAATGGAACGCTTAAGAAAAGATAACGCAATTCAAAAGTGGGTTTAAACAACAAAGGTTGTGTGACGTTTAACCACTTTAGTAGGTCAAACATGAAAAAAGTCAACAAAGCGTTATCCATATAAAAATACATATAAGAGTGCCGTTACCTAACCTACCACAAACCTTCCATTTCACATGAATAAGTAATATATATCCTTTGTTACAGTAAAATCAGTAAAATCGAGATGGAAAAATCTAAGATCGTACTACGTTAAGGAATGTCAAAAACTTGACAGCAAAACACCAGAAGGAGAGGAACAGATTAGTTCATGGCAATACTTCGATGATATGCAGTTCCTAAGACAAACGCTGACGTCTCACAAGACTAACAAGCAGGAAGAATACGACGGTGATGAAATATACATCACCAATTTAGATGCCATCGCTAACCCTGAACCTCTTTCCCCTGGACAATCCTCTTCTGAAACATCTCATACCACGCCAACAACAAGGAAAAGAAAGTTACAAGCTTTAGCAACGACAAGTGATACATTAATAGAATTGGAAAGGAAAAAACTAAAAATACTCGAAAATGATATAGCCAGAGGTTCTAATGACGATTTATTGTTCTTCGAAAGCCTTCTACCTTATATGAAAGAAATACCAATAGATCGAAAACTTCGACTCAGATCTAAAATACAAGATTTAATTTGTGGAGAATTGGAGGTCGTGCAAGCGATGCTGAGTAATGATGAATAATTTAGTTCAAAGATTTCCAAAATTAAAAAAAATAACTGGTTACGGTGAATCACAGCCCGTTGAAATAACTGCGGGTCTAGTTAAAGTGCATTCGTTTCGACGCGAACTTTCGATAGGTCATGTAATGGTCACGGGTCAGTTCCATACATTTTTGAAGTTCGTTATGGAATCGCTTCGAAGCGAATGCACTTTGTCTAGCTGTCTGGTACAATTCAATTTATGAACCATCAACTTTTATTTAAAGTGGTAAATAAAAGTTCTTACATCTTCCTAGAAATACACTTTAGTAATCGATGTTTTTGCTAATGCTAATGGTAATGGTATTATACGCTGTTAAGTACTGGCTGTAAGTTATCGACAAAAAAGAAGAAAAAGTTGATCTGTAATCAGTACTGGCGTTATATGAAACTGTTTAATTTAAAAATGATGAGGAATTGAACGGGAAAATCGGTGATGGAACAATGCAATTTAATATTTACGTGCAGGGCTTATTTAAGTTATGTACTTTACAGTATAAAATACGCTTAAGTTTTAGATAAATATAACAAATGTAAAAAAGTGGGTCACGTAAGTAACCTTTTCGAAGGTTCTCAGATTTTTGCAAAACATTTTTTCACAAATTATTCCTAAAATGTAACAAAATTCGATAGAAGAATCTTTAATTTCAATATATCTACCACAAGTATAGAAATCTAAAACGCACATTTTATTATTAACGTGTTTCCACTGCATTAAATCTTGAAAAAAAAAACTGTTTCTGTATTTTGTCATAGAGAATGAGTGTTGAAATGTGTACGTGCATATTGATAGGGCAATGGAAACTCAGTCATTGTACATACTTTACCATAACATACTTTTAAATAATTTAAAATAAATAGCAAATACGAGATGATTTTTATTTTATTTTAAAAGTAATTGTAATATTTTATTTTTGATCCCTTGTGTCGCAAGCCAAGATCCATTTTAAGTTGTTCAAACTTTCGTGAGACATTATAATTAACTTAAATACAAACGGCTAAACACTCACGTATAGTCGTCCGGTGGCGGCACCGACTAGTTTCAAGCTCATCGGGGGCCCTTCATCGGGGTGAGTGGTACTGGTATTATTTCGCGGACGCGGCCCGTCGCTCACTGAAGAATATGAAAATGCCGCCACCGGACGAAAATACGTGAGTGTTTAGCCATTTTATATAAGTTTAAGATCCATTTTGTGTAGTTTCGCCAACGGAGTAAGTATGTACATGTAATTATAATAGTGCAGTTAACAAATTAAAATTCTGTCAACAATGGACGAGTAAAATAAAGTTTATACCAACGATAACATCGCTAAACATGACATTTGATATTTTCATATGCTGAACATATGGCAGTGGAAACGGACTCTAACATTACAAACTTGTTTTGTTAAATATTCGCATACTGTAACGTATTTGTTTTACGAAAGAATAAAAATATGGGGCATTCAACGTCGTTAACTTACACAGCTGTAACGGATTTTAGTACGGCTTATCAAATAACAAATAAGGCAAATTGTTACGATTTCGTGGCATATAAACCGTAGTTCTGTTGTTGGTTTGATAACATTTTCAAACTGAACGCCGAACCTTTGGAATTTATTTTATTTATTTAATAACTGGAAAACTATGTAAATAATAATAGTTTTCGCATATGGATAATAAAAATAACAGTATAACATGGCAAAGAGAATAGGCAATTTTAAAAAAGGAAAAAAGAAAAACATAAATACAAGAAAACCAAGCGGCTAGCGAACTGGACAACCAAAGAATTCGCTGCTCAAATCGTTTACAATGTCAGCATGCCTAGTATTAAACAATTCGATGTGAGGACTTTTCCTTGATATTAAATTAAGACCAAAATCACCGATAAAACATATCGTCATCCTTGTCATTATCTTTGGGAAGACAGACATAACTATATTTTTAAACGGTGGTCTTCGAAACCGACGACTAATTTTACAAATTGAGAAAATTATGAGACAGATTAAAGTGCAATTGTGTAATATGGATAAATTAAGCCTTATAATATGTGAAATTTTTATTTCTCAAAATACTTAAGAATTTTTCGTAAACACATAGGGTAAAATTTGCGATTTTATTTTTGCATTGCATTGGTTCATAAGCAAGGACTAAAATGAGTTGATCGTCGTACGTTACAACGATTTGTTTAGGGTACTAGTGCAAAAATATTAGCTCATTTTGTTACCCGGTTCTTCTTGTCTCTTAAGTAATCTATAAACAATGCCGAGTGCAAGTAAATATAATGATATGTTTGTACTGGCACGTCTAAATGTGATAACACGAATCTTATGCAATGCGGTAATGTGGAACATTGTTTAGGCATAATGAGGATATTACATTTCATATCAAATATACAAAGACTAGGTTTCTATACGTTAGTGGTTACTAACGTATAGAAAGGCAGTCTTTGTATAGGCAGATGTTTCGTGTTTCCTTTTTCTCGGTTAATATAGATTTTCATAGTGTTAGGAAGACCGACACTGTGCCGTTGTACCGATGGAACACTAACGTTACTAAAATGTCGACGTTTATGTCCCCTCACTAATCATTAACACTTGACTTTGTAACGAAAGCGCGATATTCGCGACAAAGAATTCTAACCAATAATGTCTAAAAATAGTTAAATTCAACTTATCTGTACAACAGGTAAATTAAACCAAAATATAAACTCATCTCTAGACAATATATACGAATAAAACTAAAGATCTTTGCCTGCACTCACCACAATGGTACAAACGACTGCCATAGAAATTACAGTGGCATACGTATTCTCGCTAGTGGAAAAGGGATCTAAGAGCTGTTTAACTCTTATAGGCAGAGTAATTGCTATCACGCGACTTAAATAATAATTGCATTGGCTCTTGTTTACTTCGTGAACATAATCCGCGTATTTATTAAAATATAATTAATTAAATTAGCAGCAATGTAATTGGTTGTCTAGGATCAATCGATCGCGTTGTCCGTCTTGTACATTCCTTGTTAATTATATTATGTATAATACATAGGGGATGAGCGTGTTTATATAATTAACGGAGAATGCAAACCGGTTCATTAATATCTGACGCGTTATGTAAACATACGATAATGCAATAAAGGTGCTTCGTAAGCAACTTATCAGATTATATTGCGAAGCACATGTTTTTTAAAAAAAAACTCATATCTATGTATTAAAATATTTATCGCTAAGAAAGTAATAGACAAGAATTAAATTTTTATATCGTACTGCGTAGTTTCTAATGGAACTAGCCGTCGCCCGCGGTTCCATCCGCGTCCGGAAATTAAAAAAAAAACATAATCAGTAACCTATGCGGTCTTCCAGTGTATATTCTACATGTATTCTAAATTTCAGAGAGCATCCATGCAACCGTTTTGAATACCTTGTAACAAACATCCATACAAATATTCGTATTTATAAGTAAGATATTAAGACTAACACAGACAAACATCCAAAATCCATAATTCTATTTTTTACGATGTTTTTGCCAGTACAGATAATATTATTATATTAGTAAATATAGAGATTGTACAAGTCTTAGAACTTACTAGATTTCTTTATCAGTATTAGACTTTTTTTTTAATAGATATGTCTAGTTTTACTAAAACAGAATAACAATAAATAGTATTTAAGAGAAAGTGTAAACGATTAATTAATTTCGAACGTTTGCCTTAAAAAAATCCTTTTTTTTTATTTAATCAGTGAGAAACAAAAGAAGTATACAAAGCCGCGAAAAATGCTGGCCGAATGCAGACCTTTTAAAGCCTTTATAAGTAAAATGGATGTAACCAGCTAATAACAATTGACCTACTAAGAATGTACTATCACGTGATGATGTAATAATAATTAATTCTCAATAAGATGACGTAAGAAAAATAAAACCAACTCACCTCCGAGGTTTCCGTGTAAAGTTTGCCATGTTCGTCAGGGTAAGTTATATTGATATAGGCCGCAGTGAATGTATCACTGAATCTGTCGTCCGCGGTCCCTAATCTCGACCCCGCGAACTCTCCCGCAGGGGCGTGGCAACCGACCATAACAGCAACCCATCCTAGGGTTGCCAACTGCGACCACATCTCTTCACGACGCATTTTAAAATACAAAGCACATTCGAACACACAACACTACACGACTCGATGTTACCACGGATCTTTACTGTATGATTTATAAAAAAACTATCGACTGTTATCACGCTATTGGTTGACTAAAACGGTCTCGACAGATTAAGTTATCGTTATCGGCCGAAACAGCGACTTTCGGGTATTCTTTATTCAAATTCTTCGTAATCCGATTCTATTAAAGAATGTTATTACGATATGTATAGATTTTTACGAGAGAGTTTTCGTCATAAAATCGACGCAACCTCTCCCGACATGTTTGTTGACAGCTAGGCACTCAGAATTGTCTGGTAGTCCACCGCTGCCCCATAACCGGCGAGAAACTTTGATGCAGCAGGCAACTGAAACAAGAGAAGATTAAACGTTACTTAAATTATAATCTGACGTAATTGCAAAAAAATTAAATAGTGTTAAGACTATCGCGAATTCATTGAATAATTTTTATTTAGTCAATGTTTGAGCAAAATTGTAGCATATCGATTGCATGTGTACCAATTAATAATAATATTTAGCAATAAGACGTTAACGTGGCATGATATTTAAAAATAGATTCCGTACAACGACCTCAGGCCGTCGACCGCAAAACGCATAAAATAGTTCACAATAATCTATGGATTGTGACGTATGTGTTAACATATCAATGATATGCAGATAATAAAAATATTTGATTGAATCTAATCCCATTGTTATTTACAAAAATCACGTGATTTTCATCCATAGATACGTAATTTTGTTTTGTAATAACGAAACATATAATATGCATATTATTATAATATATAAGTTATTAAAATATTAAATTCTTTTTCACATACTCTATGTAACGCAAACATCTTATCCGATTACTCTTTACAATTCAATTTTTTTTTATTGACAAAAAATATTTATGAAACATAACACTTGTACTTTTGTTTGATTCTTATCTATATCGTGGCCTTTAAATAAAAACGAAACGCATAAAAACTGCGTGGTTTGTGCGAGGAAATAGCTCATGAAACCATCATAAAGTACTAAGTACTAACATTGTGTTTGGAATAGGGTGACTAGAAATCTTACTGATATTCTGAATGCGAAAGTTTAGTTACATTTAATGGATGTTTGTTAGAAAGTATCAACAGAACGGCTCAACGGATCTAGACCAAATTTGGCATGGACGTAGTAGGTAGACCGAAAGAACTAATTAGTTTCTATATATATTTTTTAATTTAGTAGTTTTAATTTTATATTACCTGAAGCTATCGCTTGAAAAATAACCCTAAATTTATTTAATTTCCAAACTTTGTTTTAAAGCGTGGTGACACTACTCAAAGGCGCTCGCCGGGCGGAAATTGGGGCGCAGTAAAAACCACATCATAAAAGGAAAACGGCGTTGTCGTGTTAAGGCGTACTACGATTAACTAGTTGCTGAAACAACGCTCGTAACTTTGCTAATACTTATGTAATTATATACTTTCAAAATACACATTCTGTAAATAGATGACAAATTAAAGGACATTGAAGAAAACGTAGGAAATATTACTAGTAATATAGTCAAAACTCGTACCATCTTTCGACCAAATCTCCACTTCACCAGGTGGGATCGTGGTCAAGCGCTAGCTTATAAAACGTAAAGAAAAAAAACTCTTTTGAGTACACGTCAACTCTAAAATATCTTTATATGACAGAAGCGTAGTGTTTTTTTTTTCGGGTACACCTATACGTCTAATTCATTGTCACTTGTGACATAAATTATTTTAATTCGGATCGTGTTCTTATTTTAAATATAGCTAAATGCGGATATATTTTATTTAAAATTTTGCTTCTAGATTAATACTTCCATCATCCCGTTATATAACCATGAGACCGACCCTATCTTAATTTACGGATGACTCGACTATCAGTTAACCATGGTGACCCAGTGCGGGTGGTTAGAACAAACATATCTAAGATTTTGGCAACTACATAGTTTGACTTTTGTTACATTTTCATAGTAAAGTAGAAGGCTTATGCAAGTTGGCAACTGCAACGCAGTGAGGGTACAAGACAGACAGCGAGCGGCTATTGTGTTGGCAGGCCGCCGCACTGGGTCAATTGCCTTTGTTCTAAGGATTCTACACTTGCATCGATCGATGTTATAAAACAAACACAACAAGCAAATTTCATACAAAGATAGACATATTTAAAAGGCAAAAGTCATTGTTTTTCTTCTCTTATCCCAACTGAGAGTAATGTTTCTCGAGGCTTATGTATGTATGGAGGTTTACATATAAGATCGTACAACATAGTTTGTCATTATCAATTAAGCTTATACGAATTGCTATAATATACATCATTTAAAATTAAAGTAAATAATAAAATCCCGAACCAAAACATTTAAATGTTATCAAGTCAATAAAACGCCTAATTCCATACAAACGCTGTATAAACGTTATATAAAAACCTACATTAAACTATAAACAGACTTCCTACCAAAACAAGATTGTACGCGGAGATATTAACAAATCGCAAACAGCTGATAGTATCGTATAATACAAACTTTATCACGGCTCGAAATTTACCACGTGACGCTGAGCCACCACCCAACTACTTCTTACTGTGGGTTTCGACTTCTATATCAATTGTTAATACATATTGTAATCTTTGTTTTAACAAATAATGGGATGACAATATGGATAAATACAAGTCTTAAAACAGTGGTGTTCTAGGATTGATAACATATGTCCCAGAGCAGGAACTGCCGTAAAGTTTGAATCTCATAATACCGTGATTACAAAATTAATTCGCGGACAATGTCGCCAAATGTTCCGCATATAAATACATACATTTGTATGTACGTACTTCCGTATTCGGGTTAAAAAAACTTACGCAACGTGTACGTTTTATCTAAATTGTTTGCTATTCATTTAAATCGTACTGGAAGTGACAAAATATCTAGCTCTATCGCAATATGTATTTGTTTGTGGCCTCAAGAAGTCTTTACTGCCGCTACTATAACAAATTGTCATCTCTCTCATTTATGTTTAAAATAATTGAGATGGCATGCTTTGTTATAACTAAGACTGTTTCGGCAGTGTTTCGCAGTAAGGGACGCAGGCGCAGGACACAGACTTTATGACAGATAATGATGACAAGCTTGTACAGATAACTATCATTATTCCAGTGTTGCCACACGCTTTCCTCGCGGTCTACCGAGGTGAATGACCGATATCGGGGTTGCCACAAGAAAAATGTAATCTGCCAGTTTCACTGCTATAAACATAATGCACTTAAGTTATGTAGTATTTGATACGAATGCAATACGATAAAAAAAAACATTTCGTTACACTTTCAATACAGACGATAAAAATTAAAAGTATAATTGAAGCAACAAAAACGTTTAAAATAAATGTTTTTCAATTTTTCTTTATTCACTGAAATAATTAAATATTTCTTTATAATTAATATAGGCTTAGATTCAGTTTATCAAAATTAAAACATAAACGTCAACTTAGATAAATTGAATTTATCGAACGTTATCTTATTTTTGCGAAACTAAAAAACATGTAAAAAAGTATTGTAAAATTGTACATAACCTAACAGTACATAATCAAGGATATATAAATCAAATTTCAATCAAAGGTCACAAAAGCAATTCTGTAGAAAGCGTGGAAAGTCCCGGAAGTTGGTTATAGTGGTCATTACCGCGAGGTTATGGTGACCATGACTGAGGTAGGAACGTCCTTCACTACGACCATGGGGGTGGTGAATTGACTTGTGTAGTTTAGTGATGTGCCTTCATTTTGTATTATCGATATAGTTATTTTTTTTATTTAAAAAAATATAAGTGTTTATAACACAAATGAAATATGTATTTTAAAAGGAAAAACACTCTTAATTAGTAGTAGATATTTGCTTAACTGTTTCTTGTTATCTTCCCTGAAATTCTCTTTAAACAAATGTTTTGTATACAAGTATTACATCAGTGGAATTACATGATAATTGAATGAATAACACGGTAACTTTAAATAAATTCGATAAAAATATTTTTATGCACCAATAAATTTGACAACGACTGTACTAAAGTAATAAATGTCAGATGAAAATACTTATTACCCTCGTTTCATTTCTATATAACCTGATTAACCTTAATTTAAATCATGTTTCATATCACTAATTAATGATAAATATTTAATTAATACATAATTAAAGATTGCAATGTAACGTTTGAGTTGGTAGAGATAGAAGGTTATTGTCTATCCTTTTCTAATATATGCAAATGAAATAAAATTGGTAGCAAACATTAAAGAAAATGACGTCATTTCCCGGTAGTGCTTTCGTGATAAGACAAAGTATTTTAACAGTCACTTAATCTATAAGTTGTCATACAGGAAATGCAATGTTATGTTTAGATATTGCGATATCTGTTTTCTTTTTCAATATTGGATAAACTAGTGCTTCCTTATAAATCTGCAAAGGACACGAACTACACTATATCTAGTTTAAAAAAAATCACAGTAGATTTTTCCCACATTATTATTATACTGAAATGTCCTCAAATTTACAATACTTCCGCTAAGTATATGAAACAGTAGACCCTAATATGGAATTTAGAGTTAGTCTATTTATAAGACTTGGGTGTTCCTTTGTAAAGGGATATCGATATCGAGTTTTCTCTTATGTCAAACTGTTTAATAAATATGTCGATACCAAATAGTACCAACATTAGTGGTTGGCCTTATTGAAAGGGTAGCGGCGCCCCTTGCGTGCTACCTGAGGTCGCTCCAAGGGCACGAACTTGGACCCTAATGATGGTGTGGCATTGACAATGGCTTTTATTGTGCTATCGTCTTTTGTTTTTTTTTTATTAGACAAAGTAACGAAGGTTGTCGTCAAAGGAAATCGTAATCGTTAGACAATTAAAACATGGTTCATCGTAATTTATTAGAGTAGCATTTTATTTCTGTACTAGCTGGCGCCCGCGACACCGTCCGCGCGGAAGTAAAACGAACTTAATTAGTAACCTATGTGTTATTTCAGACTATGTTTTACGTATATGCAAAATTGCAACCAGATCAATGCAGCCATTGTAGGGATACCTTTAAACATCCATCCATCCAAACATTCACATTTATAATATTAGTAAGAGTAAGATGATATGAAAAAAGTTCAGGTTTCCGCTGTAGAAACACTAGTAGAAAATATGATATCTGTCTTTTTTATACAGTTAATCTTTAATAAACTTTGTGAAGAAAATGGTAGAGTCTGATATTATTTAGTCTTTGAATATAAAATGAAAAGCATAATTTCAAATGCAAGTTGATTGACCGCAACTTGCATTATAAATTATGCTGCACTGCGTGAACTATCATTTCATTTCGTTGGATAG